TGGGTGATCAATGGAGATTTGGTCAAGGTCCCAAATTCATCCTGTGGTGACTTCCCCCATTCGGGATAGATACCCTTAGCACCTGGCAAACCCTGACCTAGGTTAAACCAAGTGAGGGCTATTATGGTGGAAAAGACCAAATGGAAGTCTCTGGAGTTGCCGATACCTGGGAAAATAGTGAATCAAAAGCAGAAAGCAGAACCGCATCCCTGGCAGGTTGCAGATTAGTGCCACCATTGAGGGCAGGGGTGGTGATCCCACCACATCCCCATTCAGCTCTCCTATTTGTCTGTGCAGGAGACAGCTGGGTCTTGGAGAATGGCGTGTCTCCAATTGCTGCTGCTGTACAAGATGTGGTTTCTTTGCTTGAGCAGATGAATCTATCTCCTCGTACCTGGTATGCACCTGCAGATCTGGCGAGTGCTTTATTCTCCACCCCTGTGCCTAAGGACCACTGGAAGCAATTTGCTTTCAGCTGTCTGTCAAGGCCAGAATATACCTGCAGGGTCCTTCCTCAGGGGTATGCCAGCTCTCCAGCTGTGGTCACAGCTTATTTCTTAGATATCTCTTTTTGGGGGGAGGCGGGGGGTACCAGGGATTGAACTTGGCCACTGAGCCACATACCCAACCCTATTTTGAGACAGGGACTCACTGAGTTGCTTAGCACCTCACTTTTGCTGAGGCTGGCTTTGAACTTGTGACCCTCCTGCCTCAGCCTCCTGAGCTGCTGGGATTACAGGTGTGCACTACCACACCTGGTAGTTCACAGAGATCTTGATCACCATTCTCTTCCATGAGGTATCATGTGGGTCCTTTATGTGGATGATGTGTATGGGTTGGACCTACTGAGCAAAAGGTAGCCACCACTCTGGACTTGCTAGTGAAGCATTTTTCAGAGGATGGGAAATAAATCCCACTAGAATTCAAGGGTCTTCAACCTCAGTAAGGTTTTTAGGAGGCCTGTGTGTGGGCCTGTGCGACCCCCCTCCTAAGGCAGAGTTGCAGCATCTGGCCCCTCCTGCAGTCACGAGGAAGCAGGGCCCCTGGTGGGCCTATTTGGACTTTGGAGGCAGCATGGTCCTCACTTGGGTGGGTGACTTTGGCCCCTCTACTGGGCGATTCCAAAAGCTGCTTGTTTCCAGTGTGGCCAGAGCAGGAGGGGGTTCTGCAACAGGCCCAGGCTGCCATGGAGACTGCTCTGCCCCTTGGGCCATATAACCCGCAGACCCAATTGTGCTGGAGGTGCCGTGGCAGACAGGGACACTGTGTGGAGCCTTTTGCAAGCCCCCGTAGGTGAATCACAGAGATCGTTGGGATTTGGGAGCAAGGTCCTGCCATCATCTGCAGACAACTACTCTCCCTTTGAGAAACTGCCCTTGACCTGAAACTGGGCCTTAGAGGAAACTGAGCACCTGACCATGGGCCACCAGGTTACTATGTGACCTGAGCTGCCCATCATGAACCAGGGTTACCGGACCCACCAAGCCATGAAGTTGGACGTGCAGGGCAGCAGTCCATCACCCAGTGGAAGGGGTACGGTCTTAGCTTTTTTACTCCTGGGACAAGAACAATTTTGGAGGAGGAAAGGTTCATTTAGGGGCTCACRGTTTCAGAGGTCTCAGTCCATAGACAGCCRGCTCCGTCCCCCGGGGCTTGAGGTGAGACAGGACACCAAGGCTGAAGAGTAGGAGGTGGGAAGCAGCTCACGTGATGATCAGAGAGCAGAAAGAGAGACTCCACTCTCCAGATCCAAAATAGATACCCCAGAGCCACCCCCAATGCCACCTCCTCCTGCCACCGCCCATCTCCTCCAGTCACCACTCAGTTACTGAGTCACTGATGGGGCTAAAGCTCAAAACCCAATCATCTCACCTCTGAGTGTTCTCACCTTGTTTCACACACGAGCTTTAGGATGACACCTCACATCCTAACCATGTATGTAACAGGTACATACAGGATCAGGCCCCGGTGGGTCCCAAAGGCATGAACAGGCTGCACCACGTGGCCCAGTGCCCATGGTCCTACCCCTGCTACAATGCCTCTGTCCCCCAGCATGCACCTGTGGCCTCCTGGGGTGTCCCTTATGACCAGTTGATAAAGGAAGAGAAGGCTAGGTCTGGTTCACAGACAGGCACCCCCTGGACGTGGACAGCTGCAGCACTACTGTCCTTTTCTGGGACGACCCTGAAGGACAGTCGTGGAGGGAAATCTTCACAATGGGCAGTTTTGCACAGTGAACCTGGTTGTACATTTTGCTTGGAAGGAAAGAGGATCAGATGTCAACTGTGTACTGATTCAMGGGCTGCAGTTTGGATACTGGTCAGGGACCTGGAAAGGTCATGATTGGAAAATGGATGACATTTGGGGAAGAGGTGTGTGCTTAGAACTTTATGAACGGACCAAGGATGTGAAGATACTTGTGTCCCATGTGAATACTCACCATAAGGTGACCTCAGCAGAGAAGGACTATAATAATCAAGTGGTTAGGATGGCGGGTCTGAGGATAGCAGTCATCCTCTTCCCCGGCCACCCCTGACATGGCCCAATGGGCTCATGAACAAAGCGGTCGCGGTGGCAGGGACGTTGGTTATGCCTGGGCTCAGCAGCATGGGCTTCCGCTCACCAAGGCTGACCTGGCTACAGCCCCTGCTGAGTGTCCAGCTTGCCTGCAGCAGAGGCTGACCCTCGGTCCCTGATGGGGCATCATTCCCTGGGGAGGTCAGCCAGCAACCCGGTGGCAGGTTGACTGTGTTGGACCACTTCCATCATGGAAGGGGCAGTGGTCTGTCCTTACTGGGACGGACGCTCGTTCTGGGTATGAATTTGCCTTCCCTGCACGTAGTGCTTCTGCCCAAGCCACCATCCAGGACTTCCAGAACGCCTCATCCACTGTCCTGGTATCCCACCCAGCGTTGCTCYTGACCAAGGAACTCACTTCTCAGCCCAAGAAGTGAGGCCATGGCTCCTGCTCAGGGCATTCACGGGTCTTCCCATGTCCCCATTGTTAGGTGCAGGGCAGGCTGAACTAAGTTGTCAGCAAGGCAGGCTGAATGAATGTTAGGTGCAGGATAACCCACGCACTCAAACCCCCCTCAGTCTGGTCTTTTATCACCTGTTTGCATCAAGTCTGAACACTCCACCCCACTCAAGGCTGAATACTTGAGACCTACCTGTTCTGGTGCAAGGGAAACCCACATCTAACCCCTGCTCCATCTGCCTGAAGACAGAAGATGACACTACTGTAAGATCCATTCACTGTACGCAAACAAGGCAGCTTGCAGACCCAGAGACCCCATTAGATTTGGGCTATAAAAAGCAGCTGATTTGATAGAATGGCCTTCTTTTTTAATCTTTTTTTTTTTTAGTTGTTGATGGACGTTTATTTTATTTATTTGTACGCAGTGCTGAGAATCAAACCCAGTGCCTCACACATAGCTAGGCAATCGCTCTATCACTGAGCCACAACTCCAACCCCCTGGACTGGCCTTTGAAGATGAAGTTACAGTGCAGCCAGGTGGCAGTGCCCTGCAGGGCTGGAACCAGGTTCTCTTGAAAGCTGTGTATACTCTGCATCAGCGTCTGCTACAGGGTCCCGTCTCTCCCGTGGCTAGGATCACGAGTCCGGAAATCAAGGGGTGGTGATGGGAATGGGACCACTCCCCTCTATCCCTAGGGACCCATAGCATTTGTTTACTGTCCCCGCAACATATGCTCTGCTGGCCTAGAAGCCTCAGTTCCAGAAGGAGGAACGCTTCTCCCAGGAGGCACAACAGAACGTCATTAAACGGAGAGTCAGACTTCCCCTGGCCACTTCGGGCTCCTGGTGCCTCAGAGTCAACAGGCTAAGAAAGGAGTTGTGGTGCTGGCGGGGTGCAGGGGACTGATCCAGATGACCAAGGGGAGATGGACTACYACCACAGCGGAGGCCAGGAGGGGTGCTCCTGGGGCACAGGAGATCCCTGGCGTCCCCTGCTCTTACCAYGTCCTTTACCAAGGTCAGTGGGAAACCACAGCCACCCTCTGCAGGCAGGATGACTGACGCAGGGAACCTCCAGGAACGAAGGCGTGGGTCACACCTCCAGGTAAAGAAGCCAGACCTGCTGAGGTGCTTGCCGAAGGCCCAGGAAATACAGAGTGGGTGGTGGAAGATAATGATAAATACCAACTACAGCCACGCCGCCCGTCACAGAAGCAAGGGCCGTAATGGTCATGCGTATTTCTTTCCCACTCTGTTAAGAATGTTTGTGCACGTGTCCACACGCATTCAGTGGACATGTGACCGTCCCCTTTTATTCCTTCATCATGTAATGTAATATTGGTTGACTTAACTTCAGTACTCAAAATGATAGTACATCTACATTATAGAGTATTTAAGTTGTGGGGTGTCAGAAAAGCATGCATTAGTCAAGAAAAAAAAATTTTCCCCTCCTGTTCTGGGGAAGGAACTAATGTATTTTTAGTTGTATGAAGAAAAGTTATATCATTTTGGGTGGAATTATGGCCTTGCTGTTGTTTTTATTTGGCGATTAGATGTGATGTAAAGATGTTTGGGTGTCAAGTTGACAAGGGTTGGACTTGTGATGGTTAATCTTTGTCAACTTGATTGGATGAAGAGATAACTAAGACCAGTGGTTTGGGAGGCTGAGGCAGGAGGATCATGAGTTTGAAGTCAACCTCAGCCACTTAGTGAGGCCTTAAGCAAACTAGCGAGACCCCATCTCTAAATAAAATATAAAAAAGGGCTCGGGATGTAGTTCAGTGGTCAAATGCCCCTGGGTTCAATCCTTGGTGAGAGAGAGAGAAAGAGAGGCCTAAGTTTAGGAGGCTTCTAGACGTGTTGGTCATGTGGGACATGATTGGCATGTGGGACAGCAAACTGAGGGACAGACTAAGTGCCCTAAGTGTGGGCAGCACCGACCAACAGGTTGGGACCTTGAAGGAACAAATGTTAGAAGAACTAGGAAGCAGGTGCAGACGGAAGCTACGTTCTTCTTGAGCAGGTGCTTGGTGGCTGCTGCGGTCACCTGAGGACTGCAGTCTCCAGTTCGCTCACCTTCCAAAGCAGACTCTGACCAGCGACCCCCCAGGGAATTTCCAGGCCTTCTGTCCTGGAGTCGGGCTGCATCCTTGGTCTCCCTGGTTCTGAGGCTCCAGCTCTTTCGACTGAGCAGCTGCTGCTCCCTCCAGCTCTCCAGCCTGTGGGCGGCAATTGTGGACTGTCCAGCTGCTGGCCATGTAAGCTCTTTTTATTCTCTTCTGAGTGTGTGTGTGTGTGCGTATATACATACAGATGTATCTCTATGTCGATGGATCCTGTGGCTGTTCCTCTAGAGAGCCCATCTAACACCACCCGTGCAGACRGGGCAGGAGCAAGCCCAGCCTCTCGGCTCTGTTGATAGAGGAACCAAGAAATGTCCTCTTTGAAAGGAGAAGTATGTCACTGCTCTAGCCCCCGGACACATGTACCCCACCTCTGTCCCCATTTGAATGTCCATTCTCTGGAAAGCCACAAACATTCCAAGACTGGACTTCTACTGAATCATCTCCAATTCTTTGAATTACCCTGGTCTAGGAAGGATGTGGAGGCAGGCGGCAGGAGGCGGGGCAAGACCCCCAAAGAGGTTAAATAGGTCACTTCATGCTTGGCTCTCACCCAATCTCCCCTGAGACAGGCACCAGACCTTCTCCTGGGCTCCTGGCACCATGTCGCCCCTGAAGACCCTGCTGCTGGCCGCCCTCCTCCTCGGGGCTTCTCTGCAGAGCATCCGTGCAGGTGAGAGCAGGGCACAGGTGGCCTGGGAAGGGGCAGGCATCTCAGCTGCAGTGGCCAGGAGGCCCCGGCCCCAGCTGTGCGTTACAGTGCAGAGAAGATCATCCTCTAAGCTGTCTGCTTTATTAGTGGGTTTCATATACAATAAGGGAAACAGCACAGAGACAGCAGAATTGTTTCCAAGTACACGAGAAGATGTAAAATATTTTTATAATAATGATATCTTGTAAACTATAAAATATTCAGTTGGGAAAGCTGAAATAAAGGTCGCTAGGTAGAGACACACACAGGTGCACACAGAGATACACACAGATAAAGAGACACACACATATACCAGACCCCCCACKGCACACGAGGCCTCACAGGTGCACACACATTAGGGACAAGGCGCCCCCGACGCATGAACATGGACCTAACCCAGACAGAGGCACGGGGACACGTATACAGTCACCATGTGCAGACCCCCTGCCAGACCCTGGGGTCACCCTGGCTCCTGCTGTCTCCCTAGCTCGAGCCACCAACGTGGGCCGGGAGTGCTGCATGGAGTTCTTCAAGGGGGCCATTCCCATCAGAAAGCTGGTGACCTGGTACAGAACCTCAGCCGAGTGTCCCAAGGATGCCATTGTGTAAGTCCCCTCTGCCCACTGCAGCTCCTGGGACTGTGCATGGGAGCAGGTGGCTGGCTGCTGGCGCTCCGGGGATGGCCAGGGAGCAGGGAGGAGAGGGCGGCCCTTCCTCCCCTCGACCAGCAGCCTGCCCCAGGGGCAGCTGCACAACCTGTCTGAGGGGCCAGTCAGTGCCCATGCTGTCCTTCCCTGTCCTGATCCTGAGCTGGTGGGGACAGCTGAGCCCCAGGCCCTTCCTCTGCTTCCCAGGCTCTAGGGGGTCTGGGCACAGGTGGTCTGAGGGGTGGACGCCAGGTCCTGCAGCCCTGGCTCCCCGGGAGGGCTGTGACCGAGGTGGGGTCCTGAGAGTGTGGAGACCACTGAGCCTGTGGCTCCCCCTCCCTGCAGGCTTGTCACCACCCAGGGCAAGTCCATCTGTTCGGACCCCAAGGACAGGCACGTGAAGAAGGCAGTTAGACTCTTGCAGAGACTTGTGAAGTCACCTGGCCCCATCACCCAGAAGCCCTGATTTCCTCCGGACCATTTGGAGACTTCCAGTGTGGAAGTTCATCACCCCAACCCGGAGCCCCCGGGCCCGTGGAGGCCTCACAAGGACAAAGGGGAGGAGCCAGAGGACCCTGGCTCCTTAGCTGGACTGAAGCCGCGGGCCTGAAAGCCCTGAATAAAGTCTCCTCCCCAGCCTGGGTCAGTGTCTTCTGTCCCCACCGCACAGCCCACCCTTCCACTCCTGCCTTCACTGGYCGAGGGTCCTCAGAGGACCTCGGGCCCTGGCCTGCCCTGGTCACAAAGGGAAACGGAGGCGACGGGGGCGTGGCCGCTGCGGACCAAGCAGAGGCGAGGGGAGGACCTGGGAGGGCGGGGCGGCAGGTGTGGGCGGGGCGCCGGTGGCCGGGAGGACAGCCCCAGGCTGTCCCTCTTGCCTGCTGTATGTGCCGGCAGGTGGGGGTCCTGGGCAGGCTGGGGGGGGGGGTTCTTTCCCATCTTCTGTGCCCCCGAGTCTCCCAGTCGCCCCCTCTAGCCGGCCGCTGTCTGGCCACACGCGGCGCTGAGCTGGGGCTTCTCCTTCCACACGGGGTTCTTCTGCAAGTGCCGGAGCTCCCTGGCGCGGGGGGGGGGGGGCGCGGGGAGGCCAGTTCCGGCAGCTCTGGCCCCGTCGCCCCCACGGCTCAGCCCCCGGCGCCCACTGCACCCGCGGGCCCTGGGAGATCCGCACGGCCAGCGCCCTGCCTGCCCTCCCCGCTCAAACTGCAGCCCCAGCCCCTCCTGCTCCACTTCACCACCCCCCCTCCATCCCCAGGCAGGCTGGCCCAGGGACCCACAGTTCCTCCCGACTCCAGCGGACCCCACCTCCACCCCAGTCAGCGCAGCCCAGCCCGAGCAGAGCCGCTGCCTCAACCTCACGCCCGCTGGATCCCCTCCAGCTCCTAGAGGCTGCTGTGGCGCCGCCCCTGGTGCAGGGTTGCTCTCCCAGTGATGCCCCTGTGTGCCTGTCAGTCTCAACTCCTGCATGACAGCAGGAGCAGGAGCCACTCTGGAAACCCACGTGTATTCTTAAGGATGAGATGGGCGCAGGTGCCTCTGGTCACCCCACCCCCAGGCCCCTCTGCCCAGGCCCAGCTCAAGACTGGGACACCGTGGGTAGGAAGGAAAAGAGCTAGAGTCTCTACATTCCAGGTCTACCACTCATCCAGCCAGCTTCTCTGTCTGGGACCTCTGTCTGTGCAGGGGCAGAAGCATTGAGTATTCCTCTCCCTAGGACAGGAGATGTTTGGCCCGGCTGCTATCAGGAGGTTTTTTTTCCTTTCTCTGTGTGTGTGTGTGTGTGTGTGTGTGTGTGTGTGTGTGTTTTGCTCCATTCTGCCCCCTTGTGGCCACGGAATGGGGGAATAATCTAAAAAAGAGGGGAGGCAAAGAGGATCCCCTAAATCAGCATTGCAAACTTTTCTCAAAAGAATCAAGATTCTCAACCCCTCAAGGTGAACTCAGAGAGCTGCTGGAGGCTGGGGGGGGGTACCCTTGAAAGTGAGTGAGCAAGGCGTTGCTTCAAGGCCACTGGGCAGGGAAGAGGTGGAGCCAGGACAGGCAGCAGGGTTCCAATCCCAAGTGCTCAGTAGCAGTCTAGGGCATAAGGTGGGTGGGGTAAGACGCTACCTTGTTCCTCTGAGACATTTTGAGGAACTGGGACTTGGTGACTCCCGTGGTTGGTGAGCAGAAGGGAGGGACAGGCAGGGACTGAGGAACAGTGAGGAAGGCACCGTCCCTCTCCTTCTGAAATCCAGCTCCCCTTCAGAGCTCAGTGCAGATGCCACCTTCTCCAGGAAGCCCTCCCTGGTCTCCTTGGTTGCCTCTGCCCCTCCCACTCTTCCAGCCCCCTTGTTTGATCTGTCTGATCTTGGCCACATGCTGCCCATCACCTTAGCAGCTTGGGAATTGGGTTCACCCAATAAGCTCATTGCAGCAGGTATTTGGGTCAGTACGTGACTTGTTTGTAAGTGGGAGGGGTACTCTGTGCACAGTGGACGTTTGATTTATACATTTTCATCAACAGCACCTGGGTGAATTCCACGAAGGGCATTAGTGGGGAAAGAGAAATTTCTCCCAGAGCCCTAACTACTTGGTTTGAAAGGTCCCACTGAGTAAGCAGTGGAAATTAAAATGTGTTGTTCCCTAGTGCCCCCACAGAGGGCGCTCCAGCCCCACAATAAAGTTGGGAGGTTGCTGTCTGTGTGAGGTCCAGGCTCCTGCCTCAGGGCTGTCCCCAGGGGGACTTCTGATTGCAGCAGCACAAGGCCTGGGTGCCAGAGGTCAGTAGTTGGCCRGCTTTTCTCCCGAGGGAGCAGAAGAAAGGAAACCACCAAATGCACCGCCTGGGGTTAGCTGGATGGAGAGGAAGAGGGGGATAAGGTTTCCAGGTCTTATTGGGCCACTGACTTCAGAAGAGCCTAGAGCAGAGCCCAGAGCCCTGGGCAGGGGTGTGTTTTCTTGGAATCATTTGCCTACTTGGCATTAGTYCATCCAAGGTCACATGGATGGCTAAGGCGGTTTATACTGACAGCTTTCATGGGTATCCAAAATTATAGCCGGGTGCAGTTCCAGCTACTGCGGGGGCTAAATCAAGATGATCACTTGAGCCTGGAGGTTCAAGGCCAGTCTGGCCAACATAGCAGGGTATGCCTCAAATAAATAAATAAATCATAAGCCCTCCAACCAATCCTGACTCCAGACCCCCAACATCTCCTTTATCAAAGTTTCTTATCTCTAAGTCCCCCAGGCTAGGGATAGCCATGGCCCAGGGCCCTCTGGAACCACTCACGCCCCCAGTCCTAAGCTCCTTCCGCCCTGCCTTGCCTTCCCCCTGGAGACCCCACACAGGCAGCGGCCCAGGCCTTCCTCTGGCTCCTGTGGCCTCCTGGCCAGACTCAGTGTGTCCCCGTGTGGCCCTGCGTGGTGACRCATGCCCTCTTCTCTTGGAAAATGTACGTAATCAATTCTTCTTCCCGTGTTGGCCTTGTATCCACACCCAATTCCCTCATAGATCAACRTCCCACAGACTCACTTTAACACAAGGGGTCAGGGCCCTGTTTCCAGTCCCTACCCTGCTCTGACCTTCCCACATTGGCCTCCCTGCCTGCGACAATGAACTTGGACCTTCCTGGCCTGTTTAAGGATGTGCCATCAAAGGGAATCAGTGCCCAGATGGCTGCTCTTGTGCCTCTCATGTTACACTTAGGGGACCACCGCCTTGGGAACCCTGCAGTCCCCCCGCCACACCCTCCTCCAAAGCCGCAGCAGTGGTACCAGGATGGAACACTCAGCCAAACAAAGGGRCCTGGGCCCTGAGAAGCCGCCAGGTGGACGCATCTGGTAGTGGGCACGGGGTTTACTTTTGGAGATGAAAACATRGGGAACTAGACAGAAGTATTGTTTGCACAACATTGTGAACGTGCTGAATGCCACTGAATTGTTCGTTTTAAATGATTAGTTTTCTGTGAATTTCAACTTTAAACAAGGACACATTCAACAGAAGCTCTTACAGGTMGAGGTGTAAAAGAGGCTTGGACGTGACACCCGTTGGCTTCTGCATTCAGAGCTCTTCTCGGGGAGCAGACAACGGAAGGCCCGGGATGGAGGAGCCCCAGCTACACACTTGTGTCTAAAGAGAGATCTGGATCCAAACAGCAAATCCAGTGTCGTTTGTATCTGCATTTCTCTGGCATTGAAACTTTTCATCATTAAAAGAAAAAACAAGTTTAAGGAATCCTAGAGGGAAAAAAGAGGAGGGGGTAGGCAGGAGGGGAGGGAGGAAGAGAAGAGGGGCTTCTGGGGTCTCAGGAGCCCAGCAGAAGCCCAGTGAGGTTTCAGGCCATCACAGTCCTGCAGAGGTCAAGGCTGGTGCCGGGTGGTGGTGGCCACGGGCATTGGGCACTGTGAGCACGGAAGGCTGTACTGAGRTCACTAAGGGCTGAGAGGGGCTTCTGTCCCTGGAGGCAGCAGGACTCCAGGAGAGCTGTGCCCCATCCCGCTGCAGCCGGTCTTCCTCGGTCACTGTGACCAAACAGCCAAGGATGAAAACAAAGTCTTTGGGGACAAAGAGGCTAAGACAACAGGTACAAACCAGAAGATTATAGACTCATAAAAAACTTTTGTTCCACTCATTTATTAATAGTATCCCACCCTCTGAGTGAGGAGGGGATTTGAGAATTAATGAAGACTCTTGGGACACACACAAACCTCGGTCGCACAGGTCTCAGCCACTATAAATGACATGGAATAAAACCTTTTTTTTTTTTTTTTAAGAGAGAGAGAATTTTTTAATATTTTTATATTTATTTTTTGGCAGACACAACATCTTTGTTTGTATGTGGTGCTGAAGATCGAACCTGGGCCACACGCATGCCAGGTGAGCGCGCGCACTACCGCTTGAGCCACATCCCCAGCCCAGGAATAAAACTGTTATGTTCAGCAGGGGACAAACACCCTGTGCCACTTTTTCCTGCAAGCTATACAGCAACTCCTATTTCTGAAAAATTTTCTCAGATGGTCTTTAAATAATTATTCTGATACATTATTTTTTTTTTTGTCTTCAGTGTCTAGTCATTTTCTCAACTGATCATTTTCCCTCTTTATTTACGTTTCATTTTGGCTAATTTT